TTTTTTATTATGTGTATCTGTGTAGATCTGTGTGGAGAAATGTACATGTGAGTGCAGTTGTCCCTGGAACTGGAGTTACCTGTGTTTGCCAGTCACCCACGGTGGGTGCCGGGAACCAAACTCAGGTCCTCTGCAAGAGCAGCCAAATGCTCTTACCTACTGAACTATCTCTCCAGCCCCTACAGGGACATTTCTACACAGGAAATCCATAGGACCAGAATTATCTGTATAATAGCCTGCAAAACACACACACACACACACACACACACACACACACACATTTCTGAACTGCCTACTAAGACAAGGCATCCTGCTGGGTCAAACTTCCCAGCAATTCAAGCAGAAATGGCAAAAAAAGAGAGGCCCTGGTGAAAGGGAGGTGGTAGTCTTGTAACAATCACCCCGACTGAGTAAACAGCCAAACAACAGTCCGCAACAGAGGCCTACTGCATGCACTTCACTGAGAATGTGAACATTAAACAGTCCCTTCCTGTTTAAACACCACCCCAGTTATTTCATAACCATGTAATTATTCATTAAGTCTGATATTGGAAACATCTCATATTGGAATGCTCTGGTTATTTGAATTCTCACCCTCAACTGGGCTGGAAAAAAACTGGAAAGGTCTTGGGGAGAGATGGTTCAGTGGTTAACATGTACTGCTCTTGCAAAAGACCTGAGTTCATTCCCAGCACCAAATTCATTTCCCAGTACCCACGTCAGGCACTTCACAACCACTGGTAACTCCACCCAGCACCAAATTCATTTCCCTGCACCTATGTCCGGCACCTTATAACTAGTGATAACTCCAGCTCCAGGGAATCCACCACCTCTGGCCTCCACACTCACATGTACATACCCATGCACAGAAACAATTAAAAATAATAAATCTTTTTTAAAAAGATTTTATTATTTTTACTTTATGTGTATGAGTGTATTGCCTGCATGTATGTGAGTGCACCCGTGTCATGCAATGCCACAGAGGTCAGAAGAGGGCGTTGGACTCCCTTGGAACTGGAGTTAAGGATGGTTCATAGCCGCCATGTGGGTGCTGGGAATCGAACTCAGGTCCTCTGCAAGAACAGTCAGCTCTTAACCGGTGCACCATCTCTCCAGCCCCAATAAATCTTTTTTTAAAACTTGCAAAACCTTTCAGGTACTGACTGGTGGAGAGCTTTTTGCATAAATATGTGTTCAGTCTTTTAACTAGTTAAAATAAACAGGTAACACACACGTGTGTGCACACACACGCGTGCACACACACACACACACACACCATATTCAGATCAGAGGAAGTCAGTAGAGAAATTTATACAAATGCCAACTTTCTGGGCATGCCAGGTTTTTGCTCTAGAAGTAATATTAAACTCAGTTCTTTGTCTATGAATTGTGAAATACTTTATATACTAATAAAGAATGTGTACTTGATTGTGTGTTTAACTGCATACGCCTGCATTTGGTTTAATTGACCAAGAATAAGTCCTTGTTCCTCAGCTATCATGTTACAGTCAACTCTTAAATATTAACGCTCACACTGGGGGGAAAATGCAGATAATACGAAACAGGGGATTTGTTTTAAATCATCCGTGGGCAGTGTGCAGATATGTTTTTCCATTTCCCTTCTTTTAACTTGTAATTAAATGTGGAAGGCCGATATTACAGCACGTATGATGCTTTCTAACAAAGGAAACCACACTGGGAAAGTCTGACTTAGGGAGGCCTCCATGCAGACCCCACACTCCATTTTTCTGCTACTGAACTTTGGAACAACTCCCCTTGCTCCAGGCCCACATCACCCTTATTTCTACTCCACCCCTCCCCCAGAAGACTGCCAAAAAATATTGATTTTTTTTAAGCATGCAAATTACTTTTCCCCCAGGTTGTTGCTTTATGGAATGACACTTCAGAAAGGGTGGGAAAGTAATTAAGGGTTTGGGATTGGAAAAGCCCTTTTATTTTAGCTCCTGCTGGGCTGGTGTAAACAAAGATTCCCTTAATGTCAACAATGACTTAATTAACCAGAGTCGGGGACAATGTCAGGAAAAGTCTGAAAGTAAGAGTTCCAGCCTCGCAGTAGTCAAGCTTAACTTTCAGAATATGCATCAGCAGAACAGTACTTAACATGAGGATCACCTTCTGAATCAGTGACTGTTTATACCCTTCACCTGTCCCTTGCGGTAATGAATGAGCAATCGAATATCATCATTTCTATTCTGAAATATTGAATAAAATCTTCTAGGGATTATTTTCATCTTAGGTCAACTGACTTGATGCAACCCTGCTGCTTCCATTTGAGAAAGTGTCTGGAAATACAGCAGATAGGATGGGATGGGAGATGGTGACATACATGATAGTATATTTATTACACAAGGACTACATGACTAGACATGAGCTTTCCCTAAAGGGTGAGTGAAAAGGGCTCTCTAGCATCTCTGGTGTGGGGGCTCAGGATCCTTCCAGGAAGCTCTTGACAGACATCATTTAAACTGAACTTCCAAGTTAGCAAACCAAAGCCTTCTGGGATATGGCTTTAGAAGGTGGTCAAGGATGAACTTAGTGTTAACCAAAGCACTAAATATGGACTGTTGGAGAGACGCACACGCACATATATTCCTGTTGGAGGGCAGGCAGGGAACACCAGAGCCTAACCTAGAGCCTCGTATCTATTTTGATTACCTTCTAATCACCTCAGACACTAAAGCACAGCTCCACAGATGAACTGGTCCTAAGGCTCAAACCAGATGGCACTGCTGGTCCCCTAGACAAGGAGTGTGGACCCTGCAGAAGGCAGCACAGCTGCCCCCCATCCAAAAGCAACTTTCTTCTGGAGCATCTCTTGCTTGACATGATGACAAATGGCACAGCCAGTCCCAGGGATTGTACTGGTTCCCAGCTTGAAGGGACCATAATGATTGCCATTGATGCCAGGCACTGTGCTGTCTACTCTTTGTGTCCAGGTCCTGGGGAAATCCAGCCTCTTGAGGTGAGTTATCAAAGGCATCTGGGGGACATCACTGTTCACTGACTGTTAATATAGAGATCCCTAAGGCTCATCATATTGAGCCCTCAAGGGCAAAAGGGGAAAGTAAGGCCCAGAAGTTTCTCTGCTTCTCCCAAGCCTGTTTTGGTAAAGCTCCACATCTTAAACCATTTTTTTTTCTTTAACATCTCCCAAGTCTGGATGGAAACTCTGAACCCAGAAAAAATGCACCAGAGGACACAGGCAAAGTCAGAGCCACAAATTCAGTGATGCCCTGGGCCTCCTCCCTGCCCCCTAGGTGCACATACAGGTAGGTCCTCAGGAGATTAGCTTTCAACAGCGCTCATACTGTGGGACATCAGTTCTTAGACAGAGTCACCAGGGGAACTCCGTCTCACTGTCCTTCCTCTTCCCTCACCTGTCTTCTCCCTGCACCTACCGATCTTTTAAACTTCCTTGGATAATTAGCTGCAGTCCAGGAAACCCTGCAGAACCATTTTACACATTGTACTGAAAGCAACTCACAGTAACACTGCCCTGGGAATCCAAAAATGGCAGTTCTTTCCTAACCTGGACTGTTTCCGAAGCCTACGCGATAGGAAATCCCAGCTCAGCTTCTTTAGTTATGCTGAGCCACATACCCAGGGGAAAACCAGCAATTAGGGGAACAGCCATTTTAATTATTAGCAAAATTAAGGAAATACAGGCCTGACTTTCAGAAACCAGCACCTTTTTCTCTCACATTAAACCCTTTAAAAATGCATCACCATTGCAAATTACACACTCCCTGATGTCACAAGAAAAGTCACAAAGAGTCAAAAAGAGGCTGTATGTTGAACAAGCCTCAGATACAAACTCCTACCACAGTCCCTTTCCAGAGACACACTAGGTGCCACAATGTCACACCTGGTAATTATAACTGCAGCCATGTCTGTGTGTGGCCCAAAGTTCCCCAGTCTCATTCACACAAAGCCGGTGGCAGTGCCTGCCTGGGTAGGTGGATCTTACTCAGGACCCATCTCCCTGGTTCTCATCTCAGACTGCAGCACAGCCACCTTTGTGGGGTCCTCAGGGGTGCTGTCCCCTCCCAGCCTTCCTCTCTGAATGAGCACACTGCTTTTCTGGCCCTGGTGCAGGATGCATTACCACAGACGCTCAGCTGACCTGACAGCATTTGGGACTGTGACCGGTTCCAAAGCCCAGCCGGCACCAGGTGGGCCCTCAGCAAACACGTTCATTAAGTGGCGATGAGTGCTGGGATCTGCCGTGTTACGCTCGGATTACCACTCGAAAAATAACTGGCCTACCACTATTCCCTCCTGATGACAGATTTCAATGCTGCACCAAGCAGAGGGTTGGTTAACAACTGCAGCTCTGAAGGACCCCAGAGGAGGCCCAGATCTTTGCCCAGCTCACTATTTCAGCCCTGTGTCCTCCTCACAACCAGCTTTCATGTTGGCAATCACGGCTCCAAAGCCAAACGCACCAGTGTGCACCCTGTGAAATCTGACAGTCCCACAGATGGGGGAGACCCCTTGGCATAGTCACTTTTGAGTCTCCCTAAAATAGAATCTACCCCTCTGTGACGCAGGGCTTAAGCACTTGGGACTTATAATGGCTTAAAAACAATCTAACACGGCAAGGCTCTCAGTGCTCAACTTCAGAACATTTCTTTCTCTTAAACAATGAAAATAAAACATCAGCATTTCGGAGGCTGGCTACTTCCCTTAGAGGGTTCTTTAGTCAGAAAACAGCAATTCTTTACATTGTGAGCAAGACTCTCCCTCTAGAAAGGATGATGACAGTCCTGTTCCCAATCACATCCCCTCCAGGGCGCTGCGGGGCATTGGCTGAAGGGGAACTGCCGCTGCCTCCCTCACCCAGCATAGACAAGACAGCAAACTAAATTACTCTGCTTGTGTCTAGGAGCAAAGAGCCTCCTCTAGAAGGTCTGTTGTTGGGGGAGCTGAGAGGGGCCACCATCCCTTGCCACACAATCCAAGGACATCAAAGAACTTACCTTCTGGCTCTAACGTGGTATCCTCAACTAAACTGAAGGAGGGCCGGGCCAGGGATACGGTTGCCATTGTGACCACGACCAGGCAGATGAAGCGTCCCCAGCTGACCATGGTCACGGTGCCAATCCCAGGTCCTCTTCCATATCTCCATGTGGACGGTAATCCCATCTGCACACGTCCTCTGGGAGCATGTGCTGCCTGCAAGCCTTCAGCCCACTGGGGGGCTCAGGAGCCAGGGCGCTTCTGCGGCTGGGCTCACTGCTGCTGCCACCACAGTCACTGAAAGAGATTCGGCAAGTCAGTAAAATCTCCCCAGTGCCAACTCACTTACACCCAGATGGGATAGAACTGCTTCTCAAGCTCTTGATATGTGTGCAAATACATTCTTTGTCATTACCCACCAGAGCCTTCCATCCTCACCTCCATGTCCCAGGTGTTTCCACCAGGCCAGTTCACAAGCTAATCTTTTAAAAAGCTTGCTTTTAAGAGACATGAAAATTAAACAGTAAACTATAGGACCCAGCCACCACTGCGAGGCAGTGTGTCCTCTCAGCCACTCTGCCAGATCCCAGGTTGAGGAAGCAACCTTGACCTTCCTTCATTTCAAGGGCAACAGCAAAAGCGAGTTAAAAAAGCCCAGCTTGGCACAGCCAGCCTCGTTAACTTCTCTTAGTCCAATTGGACTTTAAGAAGCTGATGGTAGAGGCATGTGCCAGGAGAACCACGCTTCAGCTGGGCTGGAGCTCAGCGGCGTACCTCCCCCCAGCCCCTTGACTGTGGTTCTCAGGAAGAAAAGAGACCAGCAGAATCAAAAGAATCCCAGGAAGGCTACGAAAAATTCCCACCAGTTTACACTTGTCAGGATTCATTTTCAAATGCAGACGTGTATTTCAATCTTTCGCCAAGCAGCCACTTACAAAGAATGAACAGAGAACTGCGTTACATTCAAGGCAGTTGATCCAGCAGGGGATTCAAAGCCTAAATTCCCTTCCACTGACTACAAGGCAGCACACAGGCATACTAAATGTCTTCAACCTATGTCAAGGGGGCTAAGAAACACAGCAAAGGCAAACCTTGATGAATAATGCAGGAGTTTATTAGTAATGGTGATGATCTGTAAGTTGTCCCGGTTTGTGATTGGCCCAGTAACTTTCAACATGGGAAGCTATTGGTTAAACTTCCAAAGTAGTAGTTGCAAGGAGTACTTAACTTACTTGAGCCAAGGCAGAGAGAATTTCCCAGGAAAGCGTACAACAGACCAAATAACTTAAGTTCGTTCAGTATGCTCAGTGACTACATGTTGAGTCAAAAATGCACAAACTTTAAAGAATCTGATTTCAACAATCACAGGAAACGATACAACCAACCTCAGACCTTGGATTCTGTACGCCACATTTTATAAGACTGTGGATTGGGTGGGAGTTTTAGTACAAAAATGTCTAAACAAATGCTTTTGAGGCTTCAAATTATGACATGAGATTTCAATACCGCCAAGACTTCCTTAAAGTTCTAGCCCAAAATCTGTTCCTTTTAACCCTGACTGAAGATTAAAAGGTGTTTAGGCAAAAAGAGGACAGACCATCTCCAAGGGAAAAATAACAAGAAGCTCTGCTTTTAATACAAAAAAAAAAAAAAAAAACACAAAAACCCAAATAGGTACAACAGTGTGTCTAACAACAGCAAAAACCAGAAAAGCGTGTGTACATAAATGCACTTATGTGCCCAGCATTTTGGGATAGCTTGAAGGATTTTTCGCCCTGATTCTTTCTCCTTAAAGTCAAGAGCCTCAAAAGATAATTCTGATGGTATCCATTTCTACATATGTGTGGGAGGAGAGTACACAAACATTCTCACTGATTTACTAAGCATTTCCAGAATGCAGGGGAATTTGGGGCCTCTCTAGCAACTTTACAATCTCAGATCCTAGCAGACCACATTGCCCACCAGTCCTTGCCCTGCAGTGCCTCAGCTCCAGGTGGAGAAGGGTGGGCAGTGCCCTGGGCTGAATCCCAAGCCTTACTTGGCTCAGACTGGAAAGTGAATATGAGTCCTTTGCAGGCCAAGGACTCCCCCAACAGCCTTCTCCTCAAACCTCTATAAGGCTAGGACTGAGCCGCGGCAGGTCTGCACAGCTCCTCACCAGAATGGACAAAAGTGTGGTGCGACCTCCTAGGCAGGATAATTAGGTCCCAAGGCTCCGTGTTGGGAACACAGGCCCAGCATGCTGCTGGCGGCCACAATCCCAGCTTCCTGCCTTCAATACCATAATCCTTCCTAGAGGCTGAGCCCCGGTGAAAGCCCCAGCGTGTTTATTTTTCCCCCTGAAAGGGAACTCTCTTCTCAGCCTACAAGGGAGGAGTCCTCACCCTCGCTCTGATGGATGGCTCTTCACCGCCATCCGCCCTTGAGGTCCTTTTCCACCTCGGCACAAGGAACCTAGCTGGTCAGTGGTCCCCAGCCAGGCCTGTGCTGGGCTGTGCAACTTAGCACAATCTTCCCAGACTCCAGCCTTCAAGAAGGCAAGTTAATTGAGGGCCAGCCCCGCAGGACTGCTTCCTAAAAGGTTCTCTGTCCCAGGATGCCTCTGCGGGCGGATTCGCACGGGAGAAGTCAACACTTCCACGCTAATCCTAAACGCAGACCTAAGTACTGGCTCAAAGCTTCCCTGCTTCTAGCCACCACCGAGTGGGAAGGGAGCTGTCACTGGCTGGGGGTGTGCGCAAAATTCCTCAACATACGCCCCCCCACCAAAACACAGGCTGCCATAAAACCATAATCCCGCGCTACTGTTTCAGTGGACACTTGGAAGCAGGTTGGGGTGCCCAGCATCACGACCACCATCCCATTTCATCGCAACGCTTCTGGCGACCCTCAGCCTGGACAACCCCGTTTTCCACCCCCTTCTCAGGGCGCTGAGAGAAATCTGCATTTTAATTGACATTCCAGCAAGAGGGAGAGGGGCGCCTGATTGCTTTTCTATTCAAACTAAACAGGCTTTTCAGATGAAAATGAGTCGAGGCCAGGGGAAGATTTACAGGGATTTGGGACCCGGGGGACAATAGAGTTTTAAATGTTGATAGCGTTTCACACCAAACACATAATGGGTGCCCAGAGTTTGAAAGCAGGTCTGCCTTTAAGGGTAGGTTTTACTGATGGGGGTGTTGGGGAAGGAAGGTCTCGGAAGAGTTTGCAGGGGAACGCGGAGCCTGGGTGCCAGGGGCCAACCATCCGCGCCTGCCCCCTGGCCGCGAGGGTGGGAGCCAGCGCCCTACAGGGCCGATTCCCCCGCCGCGTAAGAATGAGCGCGCAAGTTAGAACTCGCCTGCGCTTTCGACATCTCGGAGCCGCTGCAGTCAAAGCAGCCAGGAGAACTACGAAAAGTCGGTCCAGCTCGCCCCCTAGCCCCAGGCGCTCTGCGTTCCCTCCAGCGCCAACCGCAGCAGCAGGCGGGACCCGAGCCACTGCCTCCCAAAGGTGCCACCCCGCCATCTCCATCCCTTCGGGAGAACTCGCCGAACACACCCCGACAGCTTCTTCCCGGGAAAGATCTCCTCCCGAAAGGGCCTGTGTGGCGCTGGGCAGGAGGTCCCCCAAGCCCAGGGACAAGGCACCCCGAAGATGCCCTTCCCGAGACTGCGACTACCCGCTGTGCCACTGGCAGGCGGCCCCGCGGCGCGCCCGCTCTGAGCTCAGAGGAACGCGCCCAGCCGGCAGGACAGTGCCCGCCCGAGTTTGACAGGGAGGGGGTGCCAGTGGCTGAGGCAGATGTCAGCATCAGAGGCGATAAAGAACCCTCCAAAGCCAGCCTTTGTCACGCACCCACCTCCCGCATCACTGATCCAGCCAGAGCAGAGAGCAGGGATGCCACTTGCTCCGCGCCCTCCTCCGGCGACCGTGAGTCCCTCGTCCCCCGGTTCCCACGGCGCCCACCTTCCCGGCTGGCGAAGATCCTGGAGGCTTGCGGCACTGCGATTACCTTGAATGGCAAGGGTCCTCGGCGATCCGGGAGTGGGTCCGGACGCAGCAGGCGACGAGCTCGCAGGGAACTCCAAAAAGAGAGTGGTCCCTTGGGTGGCGGCCGGCGCACCGACTCCGAGGCTTCACGCGCGCCCCGGGCCGCGGAGGAGCGCGGGCATGACGCCGAGGCTGCCCTCGGATTTGGGGAGCCCAAGGAAGAAAGGACTCGGGCTCGGCGTTGCCTCCTCCAAACTTTGCTGGCGGCTGGCGGCCGCTCCGAGAGCGCAGGAACCGAGAGGCCCGGGGACCCGCGCCCGGTCGCCGCCAGCCCGGAGAGCAGCCGCCGCGCCGGGCCAGGGACGCGCAGCCAGCCGCGGTGCCCGAGCTCGTGGGGCCGCGCGGGATCGTCCTCCCGCCTGCTCTGTGCCCGCCGCCGCCGCTCGCCTCTCCGGCGCTCTCCCCGCGCAGCCCGCGCCGCCGCCGCCGCCTCCTCCGGAGGGTCACGCCCCCGCTGAAACCCGAGCCGTTTCCTGGACGGCGGCGAGGGCTCTGCCAATCAGCGCCGTGCGCCGGGGCCGCCCCGAGCTCCGCGCAGCTCCCGACGCCTCGGAGCCGCAGAGAGACACCGGCCGGGCAAGCCAGGGGCCCGCCTCGGTAGGGGGCGGCGGTGCCACGACGGCCTCGGGATGAGGCTGAGGACCTTGCGCCCCCGCTGCCCCCGCCGCCTCCCTCCCTGGCCAGCCTCGGCTTACGCAGTGGATGCATTAGGTGCTTTCAGGACATGTTAGGAGACAAGTGACAGAATGCTGTGCAGTTTAAGAGACCTCTGACTACGTCTAGAGAGTACTGCGGTGAGACATCGCGTGTCTCTGCGGATTTGGGACAAGAAACGACTTGGAATGTGTGTAGGACCGTGTTGCAGTATCTTGTCCTGCACAATATAAAAGAGGGGGTTGGGGACCGAGTGCTAGAGGAGACCCTCCTGTGGACAGGGCACAGTGAACAGGTAATTCTACTTAATCCGCAAGGTTACCCTGCAGAGTAATGTTCCCAGATTCTGATAAGGAACTCGGATAAGAGAGGTTAGGTATTATTATTTGTCCAGGGTCGCACAGCTGGCCACCGATTGAGCCTTTGAATGTGGCTGTCTTCGGAAAAGGGCAAAATCTGCAATAGAAAATATGTTGTTTAATAATATCAATTCAGAATAGCATAAAGAAATCCAGAATAAGGCTAGAGAGTTGGCTCAGCCGTTAAGAGCACTTATAGAGGACGTGGGTTTGACTCCCAGCACTCACATGGCAGCTAACAACCCGTTCCCTCTAACTCCAGTTCCAGGGAATCCGCCTCCCTCTTCTGACCTTCTCTGGCATTGCAGGACATGGGTGCACTTACATACATGCAGGCAATACACTCACATAAAATAAAAATAACAAATAAGACATTAAAAAACAAGAGTGTGTACTGCTCTTCCAGAAGACCTGAGTTCAATCCCAGCACTCTCATCCTGCACCCCACAACCTCCTGTATCTCCAGCTCCAGGAAGAACAGAGGCCTCTGGCACCTGAGCTCAAGTGTGCTCAGGTATGCCCCCCACACACACACACAATTTAAAAATAAAAATGAATCTTAAAAAGAAGGAAATCCAAAAGAGTCTAGAGACAGGTTGGAAATGTAGCAAGTGGTGGAGTTCTTGTCTAGCATGTGCAAGGCCCTGTTTTTGTTTTTTTTTTTTAATTTCCATCACAGAAGAAAAAAGAAAAGAAACTAAAAGAAAGATACTCAGCTCTGTCATAAAAAGCCATCTGACCTTCAGCAAATTGGTTCCTCTCAGAATCTAACATTCTTCCTTGCAAAGTGTGATTCTTTACCTGAATACCAGGCCAGGCTGAAACTGATTTGCTTCCCCCATTTGTCTTTTCCACTAAGCCATCTTGGAATAATTTATCTTTCAATACACTTTCCCTCCTCACTTATCCAGGCCCTGAACAGTTGTTCTTAAATTTAGGACCATATACATTGTAATCCCATCATTTAAGAGGCTGCGGCAATAGTATAGCCATGAGTTTGAGGCCAGCCTGGCCTACAGAGTAAGTTCAAAGTCAGCCTGGGCTACTTAGCCTTTGTCTAAATAAATAACTTTAAAAATCTTCATTATGGGGCTGGAGAGATGACTCAGTGGTTAAGAATATTGGGAACCAGTTCAGTCTTCAGCATCCACATGGTGGCTGACAATTGTCTTTAACTCCAGTTCCAGAGGATTCAACCCCTTCTTCTGGCCTATATGGGCACTGCACACAAAATTTAAGTCTTAATTATTAAACCTGATATAGTGGCACATGTGTGCCTATAATTCTAGCACTCCAGAGATGGAGGCAGGAGGATCAAGAGTTCAAAGCTAGCCTCAGCTACATATCGTTTGTAGATAGCCTAGGCTACATGAGACTTTACCTCAAAATACTATAAAAGAAGGAAACTTTTTTTAATACTTTATTTTTATTTTATGTGCATGTAGATAAGTGCACCCGTGTTGTGCAATACCCTAGGAGGACAGAAGAGGCTGTCAGATCCCCTGGAACTGGAGTTCCAGACAGCTGCCATGTGGGTGCTAGGATTCAAACCCGGGTCTTCTGCAAGAACAGTCAGTGTTCTTAACCGCTGAGCCATCTCGCCAGCCCTGAAAACTTTTTTTTTTTTTGAAGATCACTAAATCCAGAAAAGTCTGCTGATCGACGCTTCAAGGGCCTAAAGGCAAACGTAGCAGGATAGCAAACACCACCTGGAAAAGTAGATTTGTGCCCAACACCTCCGACTCTGTGACATTTACACACATGTATTCCCCAGGTACCACATGATTCAAAAATCATTTTTATCCACAACACAGTCTAGAAAATTTTTATGAATATTACTTAAAAGTCAGGAGTAACAAATCCATTTTCAACGCCTCAGGCAAACAGCTATGAAGTTATAGCTTGGAAATTAAACAACAAAAATAATAGCTCGATTCTCAAGCAAAATGATCTGTTCATATGTTTAGTGGAAAGGGCTATGTTTGGATGGGTCCTCTGACTTGGGTCAGGACACCTCAGCCAGGTGACACTGAGCCATTCACCTAGGCTCACAAAGAGTGCTGTCCTGCTCCAAGTAGGCATTTCTATCAGTGTTCCCCACTGATGGGAAACTCAGCATCTCAGAGACAGAGCTTTTTCCCATCCTGCAGTGGGTCCACTGGCCATTGAAAACGAGGTTAACACATTCTCACATAAATTAATGGCCCAGGAAGCTGCTGTCCCTGTCCCCCCATTCATCCATAGTTTTATGGATGCTAAATGGGAGGGAAGACTTCCGCTGCAAACAAGAACACCTTCTTTAACATCAGATGCAGTGTTTGGAATTTGTTCTTTATGGGGATGAAAAGATAGCCATCCATCCAAAGCCCCTGATTGCTGAAGAATGTTCCCTTTTTTAAATGAGCAAAGCCCACAAGTCCACAATAGCAAATTCTTCCATTTCAAAAAATGCAAAAGGGGGGAAATTAATTTTGCATCATATTTAGACTTCAAGTGACCTTGTGGGTCCAGGAAAGCCTGCACCCCAGCCAGGCTTCGGAATGAGAAAATAATCTCTTTGCAGGATTTTTTCCCCCTCTCCCCTCTTCAAGTGGCTGGAACCCCTTTGTCAATGGCCTCCCGTGAATGGTGTTGCTAATAAGCCTATTAATGAGTTTCCACGGCCCAGTGTGAATAGGTAAATAAGCCTCAATCTGTTGAGGTTCTGGGGGTGAGGGCAGAAAAGCCAGCAAGAACTAAAGGTGACAGTTTGAACTGAAGGAGGATCGTCATCGGCAGGTTTCAGCTGAAAGGGACGCCAAACAAGGCCACATTCTCCACCCTCCGCCCCCTACGGGGCCCCTTTCTTCCCAATTTTCCCCCTTTACAAAATGTCTTGAGTAGTCACCCTTTTTTCCATAAGGCCTCGAGACGCCCTTCTCCCCCCCCCAACTCTAGTAATGATACATCAATAGAAAGGATAAAAAACAAGGACACCAGCACTCAGATAACCTATACATTTCAAGAAACAAATTACACAGCCAGCCCATTAGCTGTGGGAGGAAAAAAGGAAGGGGTGGGCTCCTGGGTCTCTCTCTATAGATATGGTCGTTTCTTTTAAGAATTTCTTTTTTTTTCTTTTTTTTTTTTAAATGGGCTGTGTTTCCTTGACCCTATGGGAAAGTTGGGGGGAGTATAAAGGCTATGTGGCATGTTAGGGCTCTCCAGCCCTGTCAGTGTGGGCCCAGCTGCATGCCAAGCTGTGGGTTTTAGTCTTTAAGTGATGTCTCTATAAAGTCCGGAGCAAGAAAGAGGTTCAAGCCTATGGCCCAGTGCTACAGCCAGGCAGTCTGCTCCTGGATGAGGAGGGAGCCTAATGGCTCAAAGCTCTACCCATCCAACTCTCAGCATTTCACTAGGCAAAATCATTGATCCCATACTGAACATCATCCATGATTCTAAATTTAGACATTGACCTGCTTCCCTGGGGATCAAGTACTTCTAGGAGCCAGATGTGGTGACTCACACCTGTAATCCCAGCACTCAGGAGTAGAGACAGAAGGATCAGGAGTTCAGGGACAGTCTTAGTGTGAGCAGGAGGTCAGCCTGGGCTATATGAGAGCCTGGCTCAAGAAAAAGAAAGTCCAGTCCTTCTGGAAGAACTACCTCACTTTGAAGCCAAGGGAATCTGCTCCTTGAGAGCGAGGCCTATGGCAGCTTCTCTCTTCACGGTTGAGTCCCAGAGCTGTGTGACCTAGAGCCAATTACTTGAGTTCTCTGACTCCCCCTTTTTTAATATTTTATTTTTACTACTTTTATTTTATGTGTATGAGCGTATTGCCTACCTGAGTATAAGCGTACCCATGTAGTGCAATGCCCGAGGAGGTTGGAAGAGGGTGTTGGATCCCCTGGAACTGAAGTTACAGACGGTTGTTAGCTGCCATGTGGGAATCAAACCTAGGTCCTCTGCAAGAACAGCCAGTGCTCTTAGCTTCTGAGTCATCTCTCCTGCTCCCTCTCCTTTTCTTAGCTGTGCACTGTGGGAAATAAATAATGACTCTTCTGTCACAGAATTCCAAATAGGATGAAGGGACAAGGATGCAAAGGAC